GTGGGGGAGGGGTGGGGGGAGGGGGCTAAGGGGAAGTAAAAATGAGAAAAATTGAAAATTTGAGCCAAAAAATGAAAAATTTGACCCAAAAAACCACCCCTAAAAATAAAGATTTTATATCAAAACTCAACGTAACCAAAACCCCAAAAACTGACCCCAAACCCAGCACAAAAAAATAAAAGATTTAATAAAAACCCCCAAAATTTTACCCAAAACCCAAAAAGTTTAACACCAAAAACCAGATATTTGACCACAAACCCCTGATTTTATTGAAATCCCCACAATTTTGAACCCCAAAAAAGACATTTGATATGAAACCCCTGATTTTATTAAAATCCACAAAATTTAACCCCAAATAACAAAAACCTGACCAAAAAACCCCCAAAATTTAACCCTAAACGTCCTCATTTTAAACAAAACCCCTAAAATTTGAACCAAAACTCAAAAAAATTGACCCAAAACCCACAAAATTTGACCACAACTCACCCTGTTTCACCAAAATCTCAAAAATTTGATCAAAAAATCTAAATCTGACTCCAAAATCCACAATACTTAAACGGAAAACCCCTTAAATTAACCAAAACACCAAAAATTCTGCACAAAATCCCAAAAATTCGACTTCAAACCCCCAAGTTGACCAAAATCCCCAACATTAAACCAAAAATAAGTAAAATTCGACAAAAAAACCCCAAAATTGGACATCTAACTCCATCAATTCAACCAAATTCCCTCAAAATTAACAGAACTCCCCTAGAAAATTAATCCCCAAACTTCTAATTCAACCAAACCTCCAAAATTTAAACACAAAAAACCAAAAATTTGACCCAAAACGCTCAAATTTTCCCTGATTTTCTGCCACAACCTTCAAACTCCCCCGACTTCCCTCAAATTCCCCCCAAAACCTCTAAATTTCCTTCAAATTCTACCCAAAACGCCCAAATTTCCATCAAAATCCCTGCCAAATCCCCAAATTTCCCCCCAAACTTCCAAATTTCTATCAAATTTTCCCCAAAACGCCCAAATTTCCCTCAAAACTTTCCCCAAAACCCCAAAATTTCCTCTCCAAACCCCCAAAATTCCTGAATTTTCCCCAATATCCCTAATTTTACCTCAAATTTTCCCCCAAACCCACCACAGCCGCAATTTCCCTCACATTTTCCCCAAAATTTACGCCCAAACCCCCCAAATACCCGTCATAGTCACCCAAAACCCCTCACATTTCCCCCATTACTCCCAGATTTCCCTCAAATTTCCCCAAAACCCCAAAATTTCCTCTCCAAACCCCCAAAATTCCTGAATTTTCCCCAATATCCCTAATTTTACCTCAAATTTTCCCCCAAACCCACCACAGCCGCAATTTCCCTCACATTTTCCCCAAAATTTACGCCCAAACCCCCCAAATACCCGTCATAGTCACCCAAAACCCCTCACATTTCCCCCATTACCCTCAAATTTCCCTCAAATTTTCCGCCAAAAACCCCAAATCTTCCCCAAAGCCCCTCAACTTTCCCTCAAATTTTCCCGAAAAATCCCAAATTCCCCTCAAATCCCGCCCAAATTTTCCCGCCTCACCTGCTCCGCGCCGCTCGCCACCCCCCTCACGGCCGGGGCTCCGCAGCACCACACGGGACCCCGAAACCTCTGCGGAAAAAAACACTTTTTGTGCCCTTTTAACATCAAAACACTCACTTTGACGTTGTAACCTCCCCTTAAAAAAGGCAAAAAAGGGGGGGAAAAGTTTAAAAAGCCTTTCCGGCTCACCTGAGCCCTCAGGGCGCGCAGCAGCGGCCGCAGCCGCGGGGTCGCCGCCGCCATCATGGCGGCCTGAGGTGAGCAGGAAGAAGGGCGGGGCGTAAGCGCCGAGGGGGAGTGCCCGCGAAAACCGCGGCTGCTGATTGGTCAGTGAAACTTAGCGCATGCGCTTCATTGATAAAGGCAGGAAGCGGCATTTTTAATGAGGGCAAGCCTTAGTGAGGCGTGGCCAAGAGGGAGAGGCGGGAATTAAATCCACCAATAGAAGCCCGGTTTTATCTGGCGCATGCGCTCTAGGGGAAAGAAGAGCTAAAAGCGCCATGTTAAGTAAGGGCAAGAGTGAGGGAGTGATGTCATAGAAAGGGAAGCCACGCCCACTTTCCCCCTCAGGACGCGCCGCCATCTTGGATCCGCCGCCGCTCCCTGAGGTAACAACGGGGGGGGGGGCGACCCCGCCTCTAATTATGGAGGCAGAAAAATGCTCCGAAATCCCCTAAAAACACCCAAAAATACTCCCAAACTTTGGGGACTTAAGGGGCGCCACACCCTTAAAGTAATCTAGAGACTTCCCCCCAAAATTCCCCTGAATTTGGGGCCCCCCAGGCTTATATTCCAGATTCTTTGAATGGGATTGGAATAGATCCCAAAAATCTTCCAATATCCCCCCGAATTTGGGGGTTAAGGAGCCCAAAATCCGCCCGGAATCTGGGGGAGCTGGCAAGGATTCAAGACCCCCAAAACTCTTCCAAAATCCTCAGAAATTTTGGCGTGTTAATAAACCCCAGACCGTGCAAACACCCCCAAAATTCGGTGTTAAATAAAACCCCAAATTTCCCCAGATTTGAGGGGTTTTAGGTGATGCAAACCATACAAATTTGGGGGTTCAAAGAAGCCCAAAAATCCCCCGAAAATATCCCTGAAGTTGCCCAAATTTAGCTCAAATCCCCTCAAAATACTCTCAAAAGCCCCAAAATTCCTGAAAATCTCCACAAATTTTCTCTTTTCCCTCCCCAGGTGATGCCAGACCTTTCCAAAGACCCCCCAGATTTGGGGTCTCTCCAGGTGAGCTGCCCTCAAACCCAAAAATCTCCCCAAATCCACCCAAAATTCCCTCAAATATCCCCAAAATTCCCCCACAACTCTTCCAGACCCCCCAGTTTTTCCCCAAACCCCCAAATTTCTTCCTCAAATTCACTTAATCCTCTTAAATCCCTTCTCAAATACTACAAATCTCTCAAAATTTGTTACAAATTTCCCCCAAATCTACCCAAAATTCCCTCAAATCCAGCCAAAATTCCCCCCAGTTCAAAAAAAATTCCTTCCCAAAAGATCCCCCCAACAAAATTCCCCCAAAATTCCTCAAATCCTCCCAGAATCCCACAAAACTCCCACAATATCGTTCCAAAATCATACAACAATCTCCAGAAATCCCAAAAAAATTTGCAAAATCCCTCTAAAATTCCATCAAATTACTCCCCAAACCCCCCAAATTGTCTAAAATTGCCCAGAATCTCCACCAAAATTCTAAATCCGTTTAAACTCACTCCAAAAGTCTCCAAAATCCCCCCAAACCCCCAGATTTTTTCCCAATCCCCCCAAAAATTTCCTTTTTTTTCCTCAAAATCTCCCCAAAAACCTCCAAAATTCCCATAAATTCCAGTCAAAACCTCAGATTTTTTCCAAAATTCCCCAAAATTCCCTAAATGTTCTGAAAATTCTCATTTTTTTCCCCATTTTGCCTCAGGAGCTGTGGGCCGGCATGGATGGGGCCCTGCTGTGCTAAAAAAACCCCAAAATTGCTCCAAAACCACTGGATATTTTCCCAAATCTCCAAAATTCCCCAAATTTTTCTAAACCTCCCATTTTTTCTTCAAAATTTCCATTTTTTTCCCTCAGAATTTGCAGACTTCCCTGGAGGGGGCCCTGCTGCACTGCCCGGCTAAGGCCAAGCCCCCAAAACCCCCCAAAAACACCCTAAAAAACTGCCAAAATACCCCCAACCCCCCCAGATTTTTTCCCAAATCCCCCAAATTCCATAAATATCCCCAAAATTCCCATTGTTCTCCCAAAATTCACATTTTTTCCCCTCAGTATCTGCAGGCTTCCCTGGAGAAGGACCTGCTGCGCTGCCTGGCTGAGACCAAACCCCCCAAAACTCCCCCAAAAAAGCCCTAAAAAAATCCCAAAATCCTCCCAAAACCCCTGGATTTTTTTCCCAAATCCCCCAAAATTCCCAAGATTTTTCTAAAACTCCCATTTTTCTTCAAAATTCCCATTTTTTCCCCTCAGGATCTGCGGGCTTCTCTGGAGGAGGACCCTGCTGTGCTGCCTTGCTGAGGCCAAGCCCCAAAAAACCATCCTAAAAATGCCTTAAAAAACCACCAAAATCGAAATACAATCCCCAAAATTTCCTTTTCTCTCAATATTTCCGAATTTCACTGAAGTTCTCTAAATTTTTCTAACATTCCCTTTTTTTTCTCGCAAAATTCCCATTTTTTCCCCTCAGGATCTGCAGGCTTCCCTGGAGGGGGCCCTGGTGCGCTGCCCAGCTGAGGCCAAGCCCCCCAAAATCCCCTCAAAAACACCCTCAAAAAACCCCCAAATCCACCCAAAACCCCCGGATTTTTCCCCAAATCCCCCAAATTCCATAAATTTTCCCAAATTTCCCATTTTTTCCAGAAATTCCCACTTTTTCCCCTCAGGATCTGCGGGCTTCCCTGGAGGGGGTCCTGCTGCACTGGCCAGCTGAGGCCAAGCCCCCAAAATCCCTCAAAAACACCCTCAAAAACCACCAAAATCCCCCCAAAACCCCCCAGACTTCTTCCCAAATCTCCCAAATCCCCAAAATTCCCAAAATTTTTCTAAAACTCCCATTTTTCTTCAAAATTCCCATTTTTTCCCCTCAGGATCTGCAGGCTTCCCTGGAGGGGGCCCTGCTGCGCTGCCTGGCTGAGACCAAGCCCCCCAAAACTCCCCCAAAAAAGCCCTAAAAAAATCCCAAAATCCTCCCAAAACCCCTGGATTTTTTTCCCAAATCCCCCAAAATTCCCAAGATTTTTCTAAAACTCCCATTTTTCTTCAAAATTCCCATTTTTTCCCCTCAGGATCTGCGGGCTTCTCTGGAGGAGGACCCTGCTGTGCTGCCTTGCTGAGGCCAAGCCCCAAAAAACCATCCTAAAAATGCCTTAAAAAACCACCAAAATCGAAATACAATCCCCAAAATTTCCTTTTCTCTCAATATTTCCGAATTTCACTGAAGTTCTCTAAATTTTTCTAACATTCCCTTTTTTTTCTCGCAAAATTCCCATTTTTTCCCCTCAGGATCTGCAGGCTTCCCTGGAGGGGGCCCTGGTGCGCTGCCCAGCTGAGGCCAAGCCCCCCAAAATCCCCTCAAAAACACCCTCAAAAAACCCCCAAATCCACCCAAAACCCCCGGATTTTTCCCCAAATCCCCCAAATTCCATAAATTTTCCCAAATTTCCCATTTTTTCCAGAAATTCCCACTTTTTCCCCTCAGGATCTGCGGGCTTCCCTGGAGGGGGTCCTGCTGCACTGGCCAGCTGAGGCCAAGCCCCCAAAATCCCTCAAAAACACCCTCAAAAACCACCAAAATCCCCCCAAAACCCCCCAGACTTCTTCCCAAATCTCCCAAATCCCCAAAATTCCCAAAATTTTTCTAAAACTCCCATTTTTCTTCAAAATTCCCATTTTTTCCCCTCAGGATCTGCAGGCTTCCCTGGAGGGGGCCCTGCTGCGCTGCCTGGCTGAGACCAAGCCCCCCAAAACTCCCCCAAAAAAGCCCTAAAAAAATCCCAAAATCCTCCCAAAACCCCTGGATTTTTTTCCCAAATCCCCCAAAATTCCCAAGATTTTTCTAAAACTCCCATTTTTCTTCAAAATTCCCATTTTTTCCCCTCAGGATCTGCGGGCTTCTCTGGAGGAGGACCCTGCTGTGCTGCCTTGCTGAGGCCAAGCCCCAAAAAACCATCCTAAAAATGCCTTAAAAAACCACCAAAATCGAAATACAATCCCCAAAATTTCCTTTTCTCTCAATATTTCCGAATTTCACTGAAGTTCTCTAAATTTTTCTAACATTCCCTTTTTTTTCTCGCAAAATTCCCATTTTTTCCCCTCAGGATCTGCAGGCTTCCCTGGAGGGGGCCCTGGTGCGCTGCCCAGCTGAGGCCAAGCCCCCCAAAATCCCCTCAAAAACACCCTCAAAAAACCCCCAAATCCACCCAAAACCCCCGGATTTTTCCCCAAATCCCCCAAATTCCATAAATTTTCCCAAATTTCCCATTTTTTCCAGAAATTCCCACTTTTTCCCCTCAGGATCTGCGGGCTTCCCTGGAGGGGGTCCTGCTGCACTGGCCAGCTGAGGCCAAGCCCCCAAAATCCCTCAAAAACACCCTCAAAAACCACCAAAATCCCCCCAAAACCCCCCAGACTTCTTCCCAAATCTCCCAAATCCCCAAAATTCCCAAAATTTTTCTAAAACTCCCATTTTTCTTCAAAATTCCCATTTTTTCCCCTCAGGATCTGCAGGCTTCCCTGGAGGGGGCCCTGCTGCGCTGCCTGGCTGAGACCAAGCCCCCCAAAACTCCCCCAAAAAAGCCCTAAAAAAATCCCAAAATCCTCCCAAAACCCCTGGATTTTTTTCCCAAATCCCCCAAAATTCCCAAGATTTTTCTAAAACTCCCATTTTTCTTCAAAATTCCCATTTTTTCCCCTCAGGATCTGCGGGCTTCTCTGGAGGAGGACCCTGCTGTGCTGCCTTGCTGAGGCCAAGCCCCAAAAAACCATCCTAAAAATGCCTTAAAAAACCACCAAAATCGAAATACAATCCCCAAAATTTCCTTTTCTCTCAATATTTCCGAATTTCACTGAAGTTCTCTAAATTTTTCTAACATTCCCTTTTTTTTCTCGCAAAATTCCCATTTTTTCCCCTCAGGATCTGCAGGCTTCCCTGGAGGGGGCCCTGGTGCGCTGCCCAGCTGAGGCCAAGCCCCCCAAAATCCCCTCAAAAACACCCTCAAAAAACCCCCAAATCCACCCAAAACCCCCGGATTTTTCCCCAAATCCCCCAAATTCCATAAATTTTCCCAAATTTCCCAT